GTTCCTGTTTTGCTTGTCTTTGGAGCTTTTTGTGTCAGCTCCGTTCCCTGTACCACCATAGCCATGATGTGTTGTAAATGGATATCTTATTGATGTTATTATTTCAAGCTGTAGGTTGATCAGTCATTTGTAGATGATTGAAAATTGTGGATAATTACCTAGTGTTAAGGCTCGAATTTATACATCGCGAATATATAAACGTGCAGCCAATCTGGAATGCTAATATCCCCACGAGAAAGCATAAAATTCCAATGAACACACATCGCAAAGTATAGTCAAGACATTCAGAGTGTCAAATTGTCCAGTTGAAGCTCATTCCTGTACTCTACAAGATTGTATAGCCAGAGCTGTGATACTGATTGCTTAGCGCACGGACCTGATAGAAAACCCTCAGGTGAAATCCATCGCAGCTTTATCTTTATCCCCACAGATCGACAAGGACATTCTGCATTGGTCTGCTACACTATTTTCACCTCATTGATGGCTACTTTGACCTAAGGAGGAGACCATTCTTGGACTCATAGACCACCCAACTTGCACTGTTGGTCTCCCCCGGCGGCTACTCAGCCACTACTGTGCAAGCTGCTATCCTCATGACGCGCATTCAACCACACGAATACAGCCGTCCTTCGTATCACCCCCCTTCACAAAATTCCTTCGGCACATTGCCATCGGGCCTGCGCTCAGGGTTCAGCCCAGCTTCCCACTCCGTGTCCGTGGTAGTGAGGAATCCACCTACGGCCGATAACACATCAGAGAGCAGCCAGGAGACACGTGGAGGGGCAAACCTAACCGGAAGTGATCCACGTGAAGGAGACATCATTGAAAGCGATCTATACTATGTGCAGATGCCGGTGGGCGTAGCTCAACCCAGTGGAGGAGATGGGTCGAGGCTGATGTCGGGATCGACCACCAACAGAGGCAGGAAGCGCAACCACATCGACGATGATGAGATCGATGGCGATACTTCGCGGCAGCATAGACGTCTCACGACCAAAGAAGAAGTAGCGCTCTTCGAGATCTGCAACCGAAACGCAGACACCTTCGGCAGCCGCAGTAATTTGTGCAAGTGGTGGATATCCATCGCCGCCGAGTTCAAGCGCACCCATGAGGGCCGCTCATACTCATGGCACTCGGTGCGGCGCAAAGTCGAAATGGTCACGAGACAGCGCATTAAGTTTCTCGGGGACCAGCGGCAGCGTGGTTCAAACGCACCCGGCTCAACGGCCGAGGAATTGATGAACCCACAATGGCTCGCTGCCGTCGATGCCTGGCTTCCGACCTGGCAGCGGTGGGAAGAAGCCGAGAACCGGCGCATTGCAAAGCGGGATGAGATTAAGAAGCGTAGGCAGCCGCAGCCCTGGCGCCAGAATTCCAACAATGGAGACCAGGATCCATGGCGGAACCTGCCTGGGTCATCTGTCACTAGTCCGACTGATGTCAATACCGCAATGATGGGTATGATGCACCAGCCTGTCACGAATACCGTCGGTGATACCACCCTACCGGCTACCAGCCCTACCCCCTCGCCCTCAATTACCGGTCCTGCACCAACCGCGCATTTCCTCGAATCACCCTCCACTCCCGTCTCTACGGCGACCTCACTGAAACTACCCCCGGGTTTCGAGAATATGTTCTCAACCCCACAACTCACCTCACAAGTCGCACCTCTTCCCTCAATATCCACACCACCAGCTCCACAATCCGACGGCCGTATGGTCTCAGCCGTCCTCGAAACCCTGGGAAAACTCAACAAACATCTGGACGCCGCATCAGGGGGAGGTATAGACACGAGTGCCGCCTCACCCGTGATCTCGGCTTTGGTGCAGGCTGCCTCGGAACCACAAGTTCTGGCCTCTCCCCGGCAATCCCAGCACCCGCAAGTACATCCTGCGCTACAGCCACCGCCACATCAGGGTCTCACTCATATTCAGATTGAGCAAATGAAGGAGGAGCTACGGCAGGAGATGCAGGCCCAATTTCGAGGTGAGCTGGAGCGCGAACGTATTGCGATGGAAGAAAAGCTGGATTCTGTGCAGCGGACTCAGGATTTGATTCTTGAAATGCTGAGACAGGAGCCTGCTTGATGCAGATGGTACTTTGAGTTGGGCATGACGTGTGTTTTGTCGCTTCTTTCTATTCTTGCTTGTACTTTTACCTCTTTTTTTCTCTATTTCTTTCTGATATGATACCCATTATCGACTGCGAAGGACGGCGTGCCCGCATATCTTCATTGCTCCTCTTTACTTTCTTAATATCCTTGATCAAGGCACTGCAAGACTACTTCCTAAAAATCCATACACTGAACTTGAAAAGGACCCAGCCGATGGCAATTGCTCTCTACTCTAGAACAGAAAACAAGGAAACAAACATAAGAGAAAATAGTCATCGGGCTAAATTACAGATAAATGATAGAATGACCCAGGAATCTCTTCCTGAGCCTTCACACAGCGATTAAGAGCTCTTCCATGATGCACAGAAGTGCCTATAGGGCGAAGCAATCTAGTAGTAGAAAGTCTCATCGACGGTACGACCACGCATCCACTTGGGCTCGGAGCCACGGACGTAGATGTCCTCGAAGAGGTTGCGGGAAGTGTTTTCGGGGAAGGGCATCTTCTCAGCCTCGGCGACCTCAGCGTCGACGTTGGCACGGGCGGTCTTGTCGAGACCCTTGAGCTCCTCCTCGGAGGTGACGCCCCACTCGAGCATCTTCTGCTTGAGACCAGCGATGGGATCGTTGGTGCTGCGCATACGCTGGATCTCCTCACGGCTACGGTAGGTGGTACCGGGGTCGGACATGGAGTGACCACCGTAACGGTAGGTGACGTACTCTAGGACGAGGGGTCCGTTGCCGCTGATGGCGTAGTTCTTGCTGTACTGGACGGCGGCCTTGGTGGCAAGGACGTCCATGCCGTTGACCTTCAGACCGGGAATGTACTGACCGCGCTTGTAGTACTCAGTCAGAGCGGAGGAGCGCGAGGCGGAGGTACCCATGCCGTACTTGTTGTCTAGAGGAACCTCATGTTAGTACATCTGTGGTTTTGTGAGGCTGTAAAGGATTTGGGATAAACCACTTACTCTCACAACCGAAGAGAACGGGGAGGTTCCAGAGCTTGGCCATGTTGAAGGCCTCGAAGACCTGACCCTGGTTAGAGGCACCGTCACCGTAGAGGACGATGGAGGTGTTGGGCTGCTCGTTGTACTGCTGGGCGAAGGCGAGACCGGCACCGACGGGCACCTGGGCACCGACAATACCGTTACCACCGTAGAAGTTCTCGGCGAACATGTGCATGGAACCACCCTTGCCGTACGCGATACCCTCGCGACGGCCGAGAAGCTCACCAATGATGGACTTGACGGTACCGCCACGCATCATGGCGAAACCGTGGCAACGGTAAGCGGTAATGATCTTGTCCATGCGGGTGATGGCGTGCTCAATTCCGACAGCGACGGCTTCCTGTCCGGTGGAGAGATGGCAGAAACCCCGGATCTTCTTCTCCTTGTACAGACGATCGGCGGCCATCTCCATACGTCTGCAAAAGAACAAACAATCAAGTCAGCGGCTAGTCCAAACATCCGCTATCGTGGTTCTCGTACCTCATCGCGACCATGTCGTAGTACATCTGCTTGAGCTCCTTCTTGGAGGTCTCGAGGGTGTACGGGGGCGGGTCGAGCTCGTAAGTCTCGAAGCTCTCATCGGAGAGACGGACAGTGAAGAGCTTTTCATCCTCCTGTTAAAGCGCAAGCATAAGCATCAGCAATTGAAATTCCGGAAACCTGCGGGCGAGGTTTTTCAGATCTTCCGGATAGGGCTCAACAAACCTGCGGGATCGGGGTCTCGACGTTAGCGGACGCGGCGTCGGTGGTAACAGTGCGACGGGCAACAGGAGTGAAGGCACGACGCCTCAAAGGCGCAGCCTGGCGGACCGCGGCACGGAAGAGCATTTTGTGAGGGAATTGGAGATGGTACGTTGAAGATGATAAGCACCTTTTTCCGTCCCAACAACTCTCTTCAATTTTGCCGTCTTAGTCAGCTTCCAGATCGGGGCCGCCCGGTGAGGAAAGTCAGGCCGGGTCCGATGCTTGACTGCACTACTTCAATTCTTGAACATTGATTATGGATTCTGCTATATTTGCTGATATGTTCTTGTATTTGACAATTGAATCCCTTGGAATTATCAAAATTGTCCATCCTAAGTAACAACTGGCGTTTATGCTGTGCCTACCTGAGCCTCTTTTCCGGATTCGATCTCCGATCCGATCCCAACGGTTCAATGCGCCTCTATATATCATAGCAACTTCCAACCTTTGGTGACAGGAAGGTCAAATTCAAGTTTTCCTGTATACATACTTGCCTCTTGAATACATGTAGATTATTGAATTGGCTGGTACCAAGTTTAACAAACAATAGTCTTGTAAAGAAGAATATATACAACGCTATATATATACAACGCTGGGATATATCATGGATCAAAAGGGTAGCATACTAACAACCTAACTTGGTAAATGGTCATTTTAACTAGTAGTCATAGAACAGAGTATGAGGCAACTATAATTACATATCCCAAAGTTCAGAGTATGTCTGTCTTGACTGCGAGGTAGGAAAAAAAAAACGCACCCCTAAACGGACATCAAAAGGTAATTGTTACCAACTTCGGGGCTATTGAGGAGAATTCCTGCCTATTGAGAGGCTAAAAAAACAAAACCTCCTTCTCGACAACCCCAGCATGCTTAATCCTAGGCGAATAAGGCCCCAAGAGGATGGCTTATTGACTTCATTAACTTTGTTGACTTGATTGACCTTCTGAATAGAAGTGCAGTTTGTTCTGATATCTCGTGTCGAACGCCGAGCCTCATTATTTAAGATGTTGGTTTCCCCCTTGGTTTGCGTCTCTTTCTCTGCATCAGCTTCTGAACTAGTGTGGCCAAGGTATCATTGTCCCATGCCTCTATCCAAAGACATGAATCTGACAAACCATCAAGCAGCAACCAATCTCGATATGGCGGAATCCACTGCCAGAGAAAGCCTTCCGTTGGGTCCTCCCACCGGCCCTCCCATTGGACCTGCTACGCAGCCTCTGGTTGTTTTCGTTGCTCGTGGTGCCCCCAATCCCACACACGTTGACCTCGGCCAGCTGAAGTACTATCTTCGTCCCGCTTTGATGGAGCTTCAGGAAACATTTGAGCGCACTTACGGAAATCTCGAAGGTCGTTCCCACTGCTACTGCCCATTGATTCATAAATCGATCACCCCCCTTGAGCCAGATTGCGACTCGTTCCAGTGTCTGACTGATATGCTCATGTATGGCCGTACCCACGGCCGCGACATCATGTTTGTCTTGAACCACTGGGACTCCATTACCTCCGACGGACCGACCTTTGCCAATATCTTCAAGGATTTCACCGACGTCAAAGTGACTATTCGCGTCTACGGCACGATTTCAGTTGATCACGTTTCCGAATTCCATGATATCGACGCCCACAGAGTCAGCGCTCACTACCAGGGCTTGATCAGACTGGAAGAAGAGTATGTTATTGATGATGCACTGCGTTATGTGGTCAGAGTCGAAGAAGTCCGCGGTGTCAGGATCGGAGTGGAGGAGTCGATTGGCCTGATGATGGAATTGACAGGCCAGCCTGAGAACGAGCTGCGAGAGCGAGTGCTGTGGATGCTTTGATGCAGGGAAAAGAACTGAGTAATTGGGCTCTGGATATTCATGGAGGTGTGAGCAAATCTGACGATGGATGATTTCCTTCTATGGGTTGAGACATGTGATTCCATGCCCAAATTTCTTTTGCCGGGGGTCGAGGTACCGATGTGTCTTGCTAGCTTTGAAGTTACTCACCTACAATTCCCGAACAAGCCTTGAGTTCTGCTTGTTCTTGGGACTAAATGAAACAATTAATACGTTAATATCTCATTACCACTTGTAAATGCTATTTACAAGTATTGTATACTGTAGAGCATAGGTCCTCTTCGCCCTGCAGTCTTTTGTTTAGTAATCCAAAGCCGAAATTGGTTTCATCGTTGTATATCAAAGCCGCGAAGCAATTGCTTAGACACGATTATCAAGTGCTGCTAGAATCAGTTCGTTTCCAACAGTTCAACATTAAACAAGCTCGTCCGCTATATGGGATCAACGGCCGACACTTTCTCAACTATTTTACATCCATGCTTACGAAAAATCTATTCGTGCTGACCATGCAAGTATAAGCCAGACCTGACTAAGCGCATTAGGCTAACATAGTTCTGGCTATGCACGAATCGGACAACACCCATCTATCAACCGTTAAGAGGGCCGTTATGCCAATCACACGACCTCAATAGAAGCCTTGCATCAGATAGGGGGTTTTTAGCCGAGCCAATTAGAACGAAAAACATCTAAAGTACCAACTTGACACATCACAGTGGTACGATCAAAGCCGTTGAACAAAGACAAGAACAGACATGTCGCATCGACTCAACACTTCTAGGCAGATACGTGTCAGAAATACCAGTACATAAAGTACGAAGTAAAACCGATATATCCGAAATTCCCCCGCCAAAATACCAAAGTGATGGATCTGAAAAACGCCAGGCGCCATTACCGCTAGCAGGTCAAAACAGGCAGTATAACAAATCCACCAGAATAGACGAATAACGCCACGTCTCCATGAGTTCGTCCATTAGCTCACGTTTATCCATGACTTATATTAAATTAGATTGCCTTTTTATTCTAATGGCGATTTTAAGCCTTACAAATAATGGACCTGAAACGCTAAATTGATTCGGCTGAGACATCGATCGGTTAGCAGAGATTCCTAGTGGCTAGGGCTGAGGGAATCCAAGAGGTCTGGATCTCCGTCTTGCTGTTTAAGTTGGAGATTTTTATTGAGTTTTGGGGTAGAGGAGAACCATCTCAGGGGTGTTTCAGGGGTACATGAGGCACCTAGTTTATGTGTGTGAAGGAGCATCTCAAACCATTTGAACAATTCACTTGCATGACCGACCTGGGTTGCGCGTGCACACCGGATCATCTTTCTTGGAGACTCATCCGCCTTACGAAGTAGATTTCAGAGCTATGAATATCATTGGACGCAGATTTGTCCTAAAAGGCATATTGGCTCGTGACAAAAGTCGGTTCTGGGTCAACACGAAAGGATCTATATCCTTGTTGGCATGGAGCTGAAGCTGCAATCTACAACATACTGGATTAACTGGACATTGGTCAAAATTTTCAAGGTTGTCGAGTCTTTTATGCAGCTAGAGATCATTAGGTCTCGGGATCAGCCCGGCCAATAAGACCTGCATATACATGCAGCCGCCTGCATGTAAAAATGCACGCAGCTGCATTCAATTATCGAAGGATTAAAGGGTTGCATTTTTAATCTCAGGAGGTATATACAAAGTAGGAGAATGCTATATCGTAGGTATATTGTGATTCTGTCACTACCACGTTGTAACAAGTCAATTCTTCAAAAGCGATCTGTTCGCACTCTGAAACACCGGTTGATGTGCTCTGTTACTGCGGAATCGAGAGGAAAAGGATCATCCCGCCAAAACAAGTTAAACCGTGTTTACGTTACCATCTCCGCTCTGGAAACTTTCAACGGCGATGATCATTGAGTGATCTATGCATTAGTTGAATACATAGTATACGTGGATCTTTGTACGGAGTACTCCGTAGTATTGGAAGATTGAAAAAAGAATACCCGGATATTATAATTTTACGGTCTAGGCCATTGCAAAATAGGGTCGGTATGTTGTAGGGCTGCCACACTGGGCATCTCCATATGCCTAGACTTGACAGCTCCAGGGACGAGCAGCAAGGAGTTGTTACCAGTCAACTCCGCTCTTGTCTGTTATTTGTGCCCCGTAGTCTCGATTAGCCTGCATGGCAATTCTCCGACGCACAGTTGACGTGCAGGCTAGCACAGGGGGCGTACATAGTTTTCGATAGATCCAATATCAAAACCCCACCTCAAAAGGGGGAAACATTGCCAATCGTCATCTACCAATGTTGTGTCAATGTCACGGACAGTCCGAGATTTGGCAATTGATACAGAGTACTCATTGGCGGTTCTTCAAGCTAGAATTCCGAGACAACCGAGAAGTAGTTAGCCAAAGCGAGCACAGACACACTGCACCCAAAAAGACAGGAATAGGTCGATCACAACCTAAGCGATATTCGTACTCGGGTAACGATATGATTCATAAGCGTGGAGTTGTGACCAATGATGTGCAAATCAATTTCTCCTACAGAGTAGTTAGCTTCTCCTATTTCTACAACATAGGGAAGGTATTTAAGCGCTAATGAGTGGGACGAATACAATGGACCCGCCGGTGTCAAATTCAGGCGTGACAAAGGAGATCAGGAGACTAAGCAAAGGTGAGCCAGACCAATGAGGCCAAGATTTTACTTGTTGACTGGGTTGTGGGAGCTGCCACATGCCATATTGCTTACGGTATGAAATCTCCGTTGGGAGTCCGTGGGAGAGGAGCGATCGTCAAAATTCCGGGCGTGCGTGTAGACGCCACTCCGTTCAGGGCGTCCGAAGCGGAGGACTAAATATTGCTGATCCGGATGTCGATCACAGATAGCAGGGGTTAAGAGACTTGAATTTGGAGCTGGGGTAAACCCTGGGTATGTCGAAGAGGAATTGCGTCATTGCAGAATTATTTCCCCTGACAAAAAAAATAAGTCTCCGTCGGTCTTCCAGAATCCTTCTCCAGAGCCAGAACAACTGACAGGGGGGAAGCCGTTTGGATCGACAGAGAAATTTACCACTGTTTCCAGGAGCGTGGTCTTTAGAGCCAATATTGAGTGGGTATATGGCCGGTGGAGAAATGAGCCGCCTGTGATCACGTGAGTTGCCTTGTAATCAGTGTGGGCGGCCGCCGGAGAGTTGGATTCATCCGATCCGAAGTAAATCCACGAGCAAACCTTATTATCACCACTCGTCTAGATTCCAAGGTTGGGACGTCTGGAGTAGGTAGGTAATTCCCAAGGTTGGTGCCCAGGTGGATTGGTCGAATATTTGAGTGTTAAGAGTCCATGGAAAACACGTGGGAACCCAGGGAGAAGTATTTAGAGTCAAGCTAAAAGCAGAAGAACTTAATAAGGCAAAAGGTTAATAAATAATATAATTTATGCATGGAGGACTCCATCCGGGAGTACGGAGTACAACATAGGTAAAATAAAAAGATTCCGATTTTCAGGATCAGATCCCTTAACTGGATTGCAAAGCCGATCGGATATCCGGTGTCACGCCGAGAGACAGACCATTGAAGAACCGAGGTAAGTATATACACCTGTATACACTTGATGATTTATATACATACTATTTAATCCTTGTACTTCGTATACAATCTAGCTATGTGACAGTAGATAGAATGCTAAATATTTTCCAAGTACTACAGAGTACAAAGTAGTGTTCATAAGACAAATAATAAGGGAACTCAAGTACCGTAAAAATCTCAATCTCAATTCAGGGGATCTCCACTTTCATATCCATGGTTCAAAGTGGAAACTATTGTACTAGTCCGATCTGACCAAATTCTTTTTTTATTCTTTTATTCTTTTATTATTCTTTTATTTTATTTTAATGGATTTTAATGGATTTTCTAAGTATTTTCTAAGTAATTTTCTTTTTCTTTTTTTTTGGGTTTCTGTTTTGGTTTTGCCCTTTCTCTTTTTGATTTTAGTTCAGCGAGTGTCCACTTTAAACGTGCTGTGTATACTTTGTCTAACCCCCCTGTTCAGCTCCATCTCTCTCATCTATAACACTAATTCACCTTGAACGCCCGAAATTTAATTATAATTATATTTTGGGTTTAATTATTTTAGCCTTTTTGTTGATATTTTTGATTACTTTTTTGGAGACTCCTTTCGCCTTGGGTTTTTCCTTCTTCCCACCCCCCCACCTCTTTGTTTCCCTTTGAGTCGATGTGGAAACGTTCACCTAGATCGGAGGACAACTCTGGGAACGACTCAACTCAACATCATCTATCTGAGCTGGGTCTCCTAGGTCGCTCCAAAAAGTCCAAAAGTAAGTGTGTTCGGTGTTACTCACTTCATATCAACATCGACATTTCCAGTCTTGAACCAAATGTCCTAGATCTGAGACCTATTGTGGCCTGTTCTAGATGCCTCATGGGACAAGTCGGACTCAGACCACCCTCCCCTGAGTTTTCGGGGATTTTTTTCTTCTCTTTTATCCACATCTTCAATCCTTCAGCTTCTGCAAAATAGCCTCAATCTGCTTCAAGTCTCCAAGCGCCCCCACCTTGCTAACCAGGTTACCGGTGACGTACAGAATTTCAATCGCAGCCAGAATCATCCTCTCGTTCACCTCTTCGTTCTTTTCGTTCCTTCACTCGAGGTGTGTTAGACCGGCCTAGCAGCAGTCTTTCCAACCAGACCAATATCACCCGGCCAAGAGCACCCTCGACTTTCGCTGGATCCATTAATTCTGCTTACCCAGAACGCGTTGGTCAATCTGCGCATTCAAATCGCTCACGAACTTCATTTCATTCAAGATCGGGACGGACTACAGGCCCAATGGAGGTAGATCGTACCCACACACGGAGGGAGAGGACCTTTGTCGGGAGCGAATGCGCGGTTTGCGATGAACCCTTGGAACATACTCTACGCGGCGAGCGTGTTCTGCAGCTCTCGTGCTCCCATGTCTCCCACGAGGCCTGTTTTTATGAATTCCTGCGGGAATGCGATGGACAATACTGCCCGACCTGCAATGCGCCATTGGCCTTGGACACAAGTCGCGGTGGAAATGTCTTGGATATCGGTATGTTCCTCGTGCGGGGTTTAGAGGGGCCCGGAAGGCTAATGTGATTTTTTTTTTACCCAGAGAAAATTAGTAATATTGTTCGCTCGGTGACGTCGAATGATACCGCTACAGTACGCAGTGGCTTGACGACACCAACTCCAACTCCATGGGAGCAGTCCTCCAGTCGACGAGCACCGAGTGATTCCGGCAGTCGCTACACCTCGGGTACCCGAGAGGCACCACCTTACAATTCGACAAGGGAGCCATCTTACAACCCCTCAAAAGAGCCATCCTACAACCCTTCGAGAGATCCATCCTATAATCGACGAGATAGCCGTGATACTAGCAGCCAGCGTGAGCGCGTAGAGCGATTGACGGTGGGCTCTAATCCTCGTCAACCCCATTCCCGGAACGGCAGCGCGGCCGGCTCATCCGGCGAGTACAATGAAGGCCAGCATACTAGCAGCGGGCGGCGCCATGATTACGATGTTCAAGCTATGGAGTCCGACCTTAGTCCCCGCCCTAAGGTGGCCAAGAATCCCATTCCCGCGCCGATAGTCACTGTCCGAAGCGAGTTTCCGACTATGAACCGATCTCGTCAACAACAGACCCTCACGTGTCTGATTACGGTCGAAGTGCCAGATGCAAATTGGCGTCCTGACCTAGATGATCTACGACACACGCCTTCGGGACAGTCGCAGCTGGATGAACCATACGCGGGACGAAGTGGCGGACAGGATGCGCGATCCATCCAGTATGAACCAACGGAGAATATGGAAGAAGTGGCCGAGGAATTGCGTAACCGGGTGGACAATTGGCACGGTCTTGAATTTAAACGGTTTGGCAAGTTGCGCCTCCACGGACACATGCGCGTGGGCAAGGATCGGGATTCCTGGCAGGAGTTGGAATGTTATCTCTTCGGGGAGATGCTTATCTGTGTCAAGGAGAAGAAATCGGCTGATCACCATTTCGATGCGAGCGGGCGACGCAAGCCTGTTCGTTGCAGTCTCAAAGGCTCCATTTTGATTAAGAAGCATTTAAAGTCCATTGAGGTATCGCCAGACGAACCTATTCTCTCCCTGAACCTTTCTGTCACCGAACTGCCCTGTTTCTACCTTCGCTTCCAGAATCGCAATCAGCTTGATACGTGGCGTCGGTCTTTGATCGATTTGCACCCAGAGGCCATTTCACGCCACAATGACTATGACTACGACAACTCGGGGGCTGAGGAGGATGATTACCGTGGTAACCGTGGAATCCAACGACAGGCTTCTATCAATTCGTCTTACGGCGCAGGAAAATCTATCAATACCGCCATTACAGACTACACCAATCCCGACTACACGAACCCCGACGCAGAATTCCCTGCAATCAACTCTGTTCATATTCCCCTCGATCTTGTGGTTGTCATTCCGGTATCTTCGTCTATGCAAGGCTTGAAGATTACTCTCCTGCGTGATGCCCTCAAATTCCTCGTGCAGAACCTGGGCCCTCGGGACCGGATGGGTCTGGTGACTTTTGGCTCTAGTGGTGGAGGTGTGCCCCTGGTTGGTATGACCACCAAGTCCTGGGCTGGATGGCCGAAGATCCTCGAATCGATCCGGCCGGTTGGTCAAAAGAGTCTCCGTGCGGACGTGGTTGAAGGTGCCAATGTCGCCATGGATCTTCTGATGCAGCGCAAATTCAACAACCCCGTCTCGACTATCCTTTTGATCAGCGACTCTTCTATCTCCGACCCTGAAAGTGTTGATTTCGTGGTTTCGCGTGCGGAAGCTGCCAAGGTCAGCATCCACTCGTTTGGACTTGGATTGACCCACAAGCCCGATACTATGATCGAGTTGTCTACTCGCACCAAGGGATCTTACTCGTATGTGAAGGATTGGATGATGTTGCGAGAATGTGTTGCTGGATGCCTGGGCGCGTTACAGACAACCTCTCACCAAAACGTGAAGTTGAAGCTCCGTCTACCTGAAGGGTCACCCGCCAAGTTTGTCAAGATTAGCGGCGCTCTGCACACCACAAAGCGCGCAACTGGCAAAGATGCCGAAGCTGCACTGGGAGATCTCCGATTCGGTGAGAAGCGCGACGTCTTGGTCCAACTTGTCATCCAGCCCGACAATGCCACGCAGGACAACATGCCGCAAGATCCGTGGGAGAGCCTAGTCTCTGGGTTGGAGGCACTCGGCGGTGGTTCCGATGGCGATGAGACACGAGTGCTGAGTGTTGAAGAAGTCCCATTGATTCAAGCTGATCTCACCTACGGCGACCTGCTCCGTGATGGCCATCTCACTCACTCCCCCCGGCCTTCACTCCTGGCCATTACTATGCTGCCCCCTAACCCTCGGGCCAAGGGTCATCGATCCTCGAATCCTCCAATTCCTCCCCATCCTTCGATCGTGCAGCGTCGCATGGAACTACTCACTTCCGACATGCTGACCCGTGCTCTCACTCTGGTTTCCCGGGGCCAGCATGATCGGGCGATGCACCTTCTCAACGAAACGCGCAGTATTCTCAAGGGCCTAGGCAAGGGTGGCCTGCCACCTCTGCCCCCGGGTGCTTCCCGGTCCGACAGTGATGCCGACAGCCGCGGCGACACCCCAGTCTCGGCCACCTCTCCTAGCTTTGGTGGAACCCACTCATCCGCATCCGACACCCACACCATCACAACACCCTCCGCGGTCGATGCTCAGACGATGATTGCCCTAAACGCAGATCTGGAGTCCGCTCTGGAGTGGATCAACCACCCGGCAGTCTTCGGCCGTGATTCCCGCAAGGCGGTGCTACAGAGCATTGGCGTGATTTCCTCACAACGCGCCTACACCTTCCGCACTCCATCCGAAGCCCACTGGGCCCAGCGTGTCTCCGGTGTGCGTCGGTTGACGGAGCGTTCCCAAGACTGGCGCGAGACTGGCGACGATGCTTTAACAGAAGAATAGGGAAAGCCAACTCTCTACAACTCAGCATGTGTTATTCTCCCCCTAATTTTTGATTTTTTGAAACGCTTTCCCTTTGTCCCATATTCCCGACTTTTACATACCAAGTCGACGTGTTATTTTCCCTTTGCTTTTCCCCCTTTGTGATTTCTTTTGCCATCCCTATGATACCACTTTGTTCCCATGACTACGCAACATGATACCAGGGGCTTTGTTCTTGATGTGTTTCCGCTGTATTTGGACATACTATCTCTGTTTCTATGTAATTGCTCTGACGGTCTCGGCTATGGTGCGCGGGTGGGATGGTGTTATGTCGGTTTTTACTTGTTTGAACATATGACGATTTACCGGACTATTTTCTTTTCTTCTTTTTCTATACATCCAGCCCTTAAGTTTATCTGAACCCATTAGTTGCCTTGGACTAGTACATATCCACCTCATCCAAATTGTTCTCCCAGAGAAATGGTAAGAGATCTTATTGACATAATTCGAAGAGGAAACTAGAATATCCTCACAGGCGGTAGAGTGGGGATTTTGGAGGTTAGACATGACGTTGCTCTCAGGTTGGTCATGAAGAATTGGGGAAAGTGGCTGCTTATCGCCGTGTCAGATCGACCTTCAACTTGCAACTTCCCCGTGGAGGGTCTGGTTTACCTAGACCATTGGAAATCCTTGGATTCTCTTCTTGACAACATTTGCACAAAGAGTTAGACAGGCTGTCGACTATGCTCCGTCAATCTATGGCGCGCGCTTTCCGCCGCGCATGCGCATATCCTTTCTTATCGCCGAAGCCCTCCACCCAGCTCAAGGCCGCCTCACTAGCAGCTCAAACGTCGCGCTCATACAATACCTTAGGGCCTCAATTTTTTACTCGTTGGGCTACCTCTCTGCGGTCTCAGGTCGCACCTCTACCACAACCCCGACCCCGATCACAGCTGTCGTTTCACAGACCTTCCCCGACCAACCGGCGCACCTTCTTCTCAAGCCACCAATCCCGCTACCAACAAAGGCAGAGCCAATACAATCGATTCCGAGGCAGCACCCATCAACCTATTGTCTTCCGATTAGTACAAAATGCCAAACCATACCACTTTGTCGCGATTGGCGTGGGGATATCCGGACTTTATCTATACAACACGGAGATAGTGGAGATGACCGGTCGACGACGGTTCAACTGTGTCTCTCGTCACCAGGAGCTAAACATGGGCGAAGAGAGCTACCGCGAGGTCCTCAGTTCCGAGCGTGGGAAGATCCTGCCCCAGAACCACCCTCTTACTCTTATGGTTGATGGTGTGCTGCAGCGGTTGATCCCGCAGGTGGCCATTGAGGGCGCTGATTGGAAGGTTCATGTTATCAAGGATGATGGAATGGTGAATGCTTTTGTGCTTCCTGGGTAAGCTTTTCTGGGGTCGTGGCGTTGATGTTTGGGCTCTATAGTTGTGGATATGGCTGACAGTATTTTGTTTTGCTTAGGGGAAAGGTGTTTGTCTACACAGGTATCTTGCCCATCTGCAAAGACGAGGATGGCTTGGCTGCTGTACTGGGACATGAGATTGCGCATGTTGTGGCTCATCATCCTGCAGAGCGCATGAGCAACAGTTTCATTACGCTGGGAGCTGTGTTCGCTATCTCTTTCTTGTTCGATGTCTCTGGACAGTTTTCTTCTTTCCTTTTGAATCTCATGTATAGCTTGCCGAACTCGCGGACGCAAGAGGTATGAATTGTCTTTTATTTTACTATATGGTCACTTGGCTAATTCTATCTACAGGCTGAAGCAGACAATATCGGTCTAAGTATCAACCCTTGAAGTTATGGATCAACTTACGATTATGTCGCTAATGATTGCTATCAGTGATGATGTCCAAAGCCTGTTTCAACCCCGAGGCAGCCGTCAAATTGTAAGTTGATATGACTGAATGGGCCACCATCTTGCGCTTTGCTGATAATTGCTAGGTGGGCTCGCATGCATGAACAGGAGAAACAGGCTCCTCCACAGTTCATGTCAACTCACCCATCGGTAGGCTTGGAGAAGACTTATGCAGATGAATTCCGACTAATTCACCAATAGAGTTACAACCGAATGGAAACCATTCAAGGATGGTATGGTCATTTCCCCTGCGTTGACTTGCTTATTATTAATTCGACCAAATAGGCTCGACAAGGCCGAAGGAATTTACGAGGAGAATGGGTGCAGCTCCGTGAAAGAATACAGTGAGAGACTTCTGTCCATGCTCCGCATAACAAGTTACTGATCTTTCTAGTGCCTGGTTTCCGAACTGCTTATAATTCGCATGTCTCGTATCTGAGATGATCAACAGAGCATCCAAGTCAATAGTGCACTGATGATAACTGTATAATAGCATTAGCCAATGTATTAATAAACACGAGACAATCTCCAATTACAGACCTCATGAAACATAAGACAATAAACAATAAACAATAAACAATAAACAATAAACAATAAACAATAAACATATAAAACATATAAAACATGAAGGATTAGACATTATATCGTCGCTGATCTATAATCAACGCCAAGCAACTGGGCAACTGGTGGGCTCCCCCTCGTGCAAACCAAGCAAACCCACCACCGCAGCTCCAAAAATTGCCCGGCACAACAGCTCCATCCACTCCCTCACATTCAACCCATTTGATATCTAGTCGCATCTCCTTCGGACGCGACCTAATATCATGTCGCTATCAATTCCCGGTCCCTCCCAGGCGGGCCTCTTCAAGCCCGGGTACCAGAGGTGAGTTCGAAAAGTCGGGAAGCCCGAAATCCCACCGCAATAGGGACCTCCTTATCTGGCGCCCCTCCAAAAAGAAAGCAAAGCAATTGACTGATCTGTGTTTTCTGCTGTATAGCCACGATGCCGAAGATGGAGCCGTTATCCGTAACATCGAAGCCTGCCAGGCTATCTCAGGAACCGTCCAGACCTCCCTGGGCCCCTATGGCCGCAACAAGATCGTCATAAACCACCTGCAAAAGATGATTCTGACCTCCGATGCGGCTACGATCCTTCGTGAGTTGGATGTTGTCCACCCCGCTGCTAAGCTGCTTGTCATGGCGAGTCAGCAGCAGGATGCGGAGATGGGCGATGGTACCAACTTGGTTATTGTGCTGGCCGGTGAATTGTTGAAGAAGGCAGAGGAGTTGATCCGTATGGGTCTCAAGACGAGTGATATTGTTTCCGGATACGAGAAGGCTCAGAACTTTGCCTTGTCGGTTCTAGAGGGTATGTTTTCATGTCCCCCGTGATCGGTTTATCGATATAGAAATGAGGGAATGTTTCTAATTTCTGTCCAGAGCTCGAGGTCGACAGACTCCAAAATATGCGATCGGCAACAGAATTGAGCAAGGCTCTCCGCACAGTGGTGGCCTCTAAGCAGTCCGGCACGGAGGATACTTTGGCTGCGTTGGTTGCCGAGGCGGTTCTGGCTGTGTTGCCCAAGAACCCCGTTAACTTCAACGTCGACAACGTGCGAGTCGTTAAGATCATGGGTGGTAGCTTGGAACAGTCGAAGGTGGTGAAGGGTATGGTCTTCCCCCGGGAGCCCGATGGAACTATCAAGAAGGCCAGCAAGGCCAAGGTCGGCGTTTTCAGCTGCCCCATCGATATCAGCCAGACCGAGACCAAGGGCACAGTTCTCCTGAAGAACGCCAAGGAGATGATGGACTTCACTGCGGGTGAGGAGGATCGTCTGGAGATTGCCATTAAGGAGCTCTACGACTCCGGCCTCCGTGTGGTCGTTGCCGGCTCCACTGTTGGCGACTTGGCCATGCACTACCTCAACCGTTTCAATATCCTGGTTATTAAGATTCTGTCTAAGTTCGAGCTCCGCCGCTTGTGCCGCGTTGTCGGTGCCACACCCCTGGCTCGCCTAGGTGCCCCCATGCCCGATGAGATGGGCCAGATCGATGTTGTCGAGACCACCGAGATTGGTGGTGACCGAGTGACCGTCTTCCGTCAGGAGGATGCCAACGCCATCACCCGCACAGCAACCATTGTCCTGCGCGGCGCCACCCAGAACCACCTGGAGGACGTCGAGCGTGCCATCGACGACGGCGTCAACGTTGTCAAGGCCATCACCAAGGACCCCCGTCTCGTGCCCGGTGCCGGTGCTACGGAGATCCAGCTCGTGGAGCGCATCTCCAACTTCGCCGACCGAACCCCCGGTCTGCCCCAGTACGCCATCCGCAAGTTCGCCGAGGCCTTCGAGGTCGTCCCCCGCACACTCGCCGAGTCTGCCGGTCTCGATGCCACCGAGGTTCTCTCGCGTCTGTACACCGCACACCACCGCACCACTGCTCCTGGCGAGTCATCTTCCGAGGAGGATGAGGAAGAGGGCAGCTCGTCTGAAGAGGAGGAACCATACTGGACTACGGGTGTGGACCTTGAGATTGGCGACTCCGACGGCACTCTGGACACTGTCGAGGAGGGTATTCTGGATCTTATGGCTACAAAGATGTCTGCGATCCGTCTGGCCAGTGAGTCTGCCCGGACGGTGCTGAGCGTCGACCAGATCATTGTCTCGAGACAGGCAGGTGGCCCCAAGCCTCCGAAGGGTGGAGGTGATTGGGACCAGGATTAGATTTTTAAAAAAAGGAGCGATGAGGGTCTGGATGCTGTTTGATAATATGGAGCCTATAGATCTTCGTACGATGATATGCTTTTTGAGAACCATTGTAAATTGAACTACCTTTCTCTTCCAGTATTTTTTGTTTTTCCCTCGTATATATTTACTATAAATATATATAATTTATACAAGGATATCAGAACTGAGTTGATCATAGTTGGCCTGGTGACTGAGCTTATTGATGATAGAGAATGTGGTCAACCAGCTCTATACACCAGATTATAGGAAATTAATATATATTATTGTGTATTATTTCAATTATAAAGCCATAAATACTCTACAGAGCCTAGTCTAGTAGGATATCTACATGGAAACTAAGTAATTAGAGTTTCTTGAAGTAACTTTGTCCACCGAGGCCATACCTACGTTATAGACTGGCTCTCATTTCCTTCAATGAAAAGGTGTAGTATTCTGGATTACTGGTTATGTTTCAGCTCTTCGATCATTCTTAGGTACCAATCGAACTATAAACTATTTCCGTGAAGTTTGACGGCAATTTGACGGCAATAGCACGGGGATTATCAGACCTCCGCGGAATTATCCTCTCAAGCCTGGTAACCGTGATCAAACAATCCTGACTGACTTATTCCTGAAGTAGTGGTGTTGTAGGCTGCGCGAAAAATGACTTGATCACGATTGGAAATGCCCGTCGGATAGAGACGGACTGATTGCAAGAGCCCACCTCCGGTGCTTGTGGCATAGTCCTGAGCCACTTGTAAGAAGTCGATGGAATTGCTTTTCCACTCCCGAATCACCAAACCTGGCATTTCATCAACCGCAATAACCAGAAGATCACCGGGTTGATTGGAGCCTTCGTATCGGCCAGCAAATTGTTGGGCTGACTGCTCTCTTGCGGCAGTAGCGACACCTTTCAAAGCTGTATCTTCGATAACATCTGCTAGCTTCGAAACTAGGCAATTATCTTTGCCCGCTGTTAGTACGGAGAAAGTAACACCGTAATCTGGTATAAGAACTAGCAAGCTTTCGTACGATCCGATGCTGCCCCCTTTTGTGTAATAGTCAACCACATGGCCGCTGTCTGCATGTCGATAGATCTCCCAGGGTTGACCGACTGAGAAGTACAAAGATGATGTATGAGTAATCGGCTTTAGCCACCTGCGCGTAACTACTGGAGGAAGTTGCGTGTTTTGCAATATTGCTTTACTAAACACAGCAAGGTCCCTTGCACTGGAATATATTCCACCTGCACTGTTCGATTTTTTTAAGCAACTTGTTCTTATTCACTGGGACAGGAGCAAGGGGTACGAATACTCACGGCATATCATCCCCAAGTTCGAAATCCCAAAGACTTTCTCCCGTAGCGGGTATAACGCCGCTAAAGTCTGGCGGTTTGGAAGCATAGGTATGTTCTAAACCGAGTGGACGAAATATTGCAGCCCCAAAGGCGTCAACCATCGTAATGTTCGTGACATTAGCCGCGACGTATCCGAGGATCCTGAAAGCGGCATTTGAATAGGCTGGTGTTTCCCAAGCCGGGAAAACTGGAGGCTGCTGATCGAGACCTTGGAGAAAATCTAGAAATTTGCATAAGAGAATAAAGATGAGGAGCTTTGCAGACATGAAAACTAAACTGACCTTTCCTTGAGCACAATGGCTGGGACAAATTCCCATCACAATGGGGAGTGTCTTTGTCTGAGAGCTTGGGCAGGCCAAGTTTTTGAAACGGAAGATTCGAACCAGCTAGGCCCGCATGATTATCTATAGGCTTCTATTAATACGTTGATGGATGGAAAATTCGGGTACCCTTCACACATACAGTCACGTAGAATTCCTCCCATTTGACCAGCAAGAGCTCCAACCTCTATTTCATCCCATTTCACAGTCGGGCTGGTGTTATAACCGTTATCAGCGGGTAGGTCATCCAGATATCTCGAGATGGGTTCATTCAGAAGGTCGTGGCCTCCATGGAGAAGCAGTTGATACACTGTAAAAAGCTTTGAGATGCTACCAATTCTGAAGACAGTGTCCGGACCAACGCTGTTTGTTCCATTCGGTGACAGACCATTGGCTGTGTGATAGTAATCGAACAAAGGAGACTCTCCAGAGTCATGAATAGAAAACCCGCAGATAGCGACGGAATCTCGAGTCTCCTTCCCGAATGCTACATCCAAAGCTGTCGTGATATCTTGGGTCATCTGGCCCAAAGAGGAAGATAGAGAAGGACTCCTGGAGAGGTTCACAGGCGCCGTGAAAATTGGGCCGAGAAAAGTGTCCCCATTGAAAGCCTCGACGAGTATTGCGCTCAATGCGGTCAAACCGCTTGTAAGAAAGTGTGCAAAACGCATATCCGTGTGCTCAAGTCAAGGTCTGAAGAGGAAATATGCAATTGACAAGTAAATCGAATTCCCTCTAGAGCTGACTTGGAAGATATATTATTGTATCACATTGTATTCTATCAAGAATGATTACCCACATTTCTACCGTTTAAACACCACCGTTGACGGAATATCCTGTCGACAATCACCGTCATGTCCTCTGAAATCTCCGCTGAATTTCCGAGGTACCGGCTGTAACGTGGGGCATGAATACTTACGACATACACAGCCGAGATGGATACAATATAGATTGGCCTTTTAAAATGGTGTCAGGTCTATTGAGAAAGTTCTGGAGTGGCGGAGTAGTTATTGGGATCTCACCGGTTGAGAGACCGAGCTTTCTACCTAGGTGTGAGATTGACTGGTCTTTTTCGTCAATCTACACAACCTTGTGACTGGCACCTCCAACATCTTTCTTAGCACTCTCCTCGAGGCGCTCGATCTCCTCCCCAAACCTATCCCCAATTTGGTGGGTGCGCCAGAGCTTGACATCTGTCTCGAATACCAAGTTCATCTCTTGACTGTCCCACAGTTTGGGAGTAAATGATGAACACGTGTATAGTCGCATAGCAAAAGTCCCCGAAAATGAAATAAAGATATAGGAAAATATGTTGTATGTTATATGCTGTACAATTCTAGAACTATGTTGTAGGTACACGTGAGCATTGACCAACCAAATGGTTGGCCTGATAGACAAATATGCCTGAGGCATAAATCACGTGCCACTCCCAGATTTTCCTCGAGTGTTTCCTTTCGGTCTTGATATCAACGAGCCGCGATTCCAATCCCCACCACTTTTCTCCAATTCCCCTTTCTCTCGAGCTTCTCGTCCCTTTCTCACCTCCGCCATGTCCTTCTCCACCCAGGCCGCAGCCCGCTGCGCTAGACAGCTCTCCGGCTCCGTCCGCCCGTCCTCCCTGCGCATCGCGACCTCCGCTACATACCTCACAGCCCGTCGCACACCCAGCAGCCGGCGATGCGAATCCACCCAGGCAGCCCCTGCTGCTGCCACCAACCCCAAGATCTCCCAGATTGTCGACCAGATCAGCACATTGACTCTGCTTGAGACTGCCGATCTGGTGTCTAGCTTGAAGGTGTGTTTGACAATCTCCACATAACCCATGATTTCAAAACAGGATATGCGAGCCTGGCATATCTCTCTCTATCTATATCACCACTCTGTTCAATTGAGGTATTCGCTCGAACCATTGCTAATCAAAACTTTTGCACAGACCCGCCTGAACATCCCCGACCTCCCCGTTGGCGGTTTCGCCATGGCCGCTGGTGGTGCCCCCGGTGCGGCCGCTGCCGTTGAAGAGGAGGAGGCTGCTCCCGCCGCTGCCGAGAAGACACTGTTCAACCTGAAGCTCGAGTCCTTCGAGCCTACCTCCAAGCCCAAGGTCATCAAGGAGATCAAGACTATGCTCGGCCTGTCGCTGGTGGACAGCAAGAAGTTCGTCGAGTCCGCACCCAAGATTCTGAAGGAGTCTGTGCCCAAGGAGGAGGCGGAGAAGCTCATTGAGACGTTCAAGGCGCTCGGTGCCAAGGCGACTATGGAGTAAAAGACTTGTGTTATTATTTAGACACGGGGAGGGGATAGATTGGGAAGAGAGTCAGGGAAGATGTTGTTGCTTTGGTCTTTTCCTCTCTTTTTCTCTCTTTGGATTCTTGCTTTTGAGAGATCTTGTTGAGCATTTATTGTGTTTGGCCTGGCAGATCAAGGCAAAATGTACATTATACGCATTGTGTTCTAGGGCCGTCTGGTACAGAGGGCTCGTTTGGTTAATTGATGCATTTAGCATATCGATGCTCTTCTATTACTTTGAAACCCAGTAAATATCTTTAAATACTATTTTGAGGTATGGTCAAGTTGTTCGTAGATCTAAATATCGGAGTAGCTTCGCGGTGAAGTTGCCGATCTGATCTCCAGAACTTCAACCAGAAAAAACCCCCCTCACCTACTACCTCCACCATTTCCCCTCCGCACTCTTTTACATGGCCAGGCCATTAGTTTCGCCGTTACAATGGCGTCAATTGCATCAAACCCTCTGTCCGACAGTCCACACCTTGCGTTACCACCGCGCGCAAGTTTGTACCGCTCAAGCTGTCGCCAATAGCAACACAACTACCTCGAAACGACCCTTCCACACTACTCAAACTCGATCAGCTCTCGGGCCTTCTCGAAAAGCACCATCTGTTCGAAATGAAGAGAACAGAGGGGTACCCCAGGATGTGTTGGTATCCCGCGGTGGAGTGAAACTAGACCGTGATGGGTTTTGGAATAGATATTGTATTGCGCATGTTGAACCAACGTTGGTTGAGTTCAAAGAATTTACACGCCAAATGTATGAGGCTTACCAGGACCAACTACCGCCGGGTGTCAACTTGGCGACGTTCGCGTCTGTGGGTGAACAGTTGATCAAGCTATCGCACTCGCAGTTCCCTTCCGCAAGTCTTGTGCGGAGTATCTCAATAGGTGAGTTCAAGTCCCAAATTAGTATATAGGAAAGGCTATGTGGATATTTTGATACTAACTATACACTTTGTTATAGATGTCGACGCCGTTTATCGAATCGCGGTCGCTCTTGCAGATCTTCAGAAAGGCCACTACGTTTATCAATGGGCGTTGACCAGCTGCGCAAAAGCGAATTCACGCCGAGCCCTTGTCGAACTCGTGAACCGGTATATCGACACGGAAGGTGTGGACATTTATCGGAACACCGAGTGCATAGCGAAGGTCAAAGACTTGGCTCTCAAAGATGAATTTCCTCATGCGATTATGCTATATGCCAAACTTCTCATCTGGCGTGGTGAGAATGCAGAAGCCGCCCGGCTTCTAGAGCAGAGGATTCTGCCATATATACAACCCACTCGCAAACACCCTGGTCTTTGGGAGGACATAAAGTTATCGAACAATTTCGATTCACCCTGGCGAATGTACGCTGTTGCTGTTGAGCAGGAACAGGGTCTAGCGGGCATCCAGAGGGCCACGCACCGAGCCGCTTTAGAATTCCACGACCCAACCGCTATGGCTGACTATGCCATCTCAGCGTTGGAAACGGAGGCCCCCAATAAATACGAGGTGTATGAGTCGTACATGTCCGCCGCTGCAGTGGGGGGACACACTCCAGCCTGCCTTCACATTGCCAATTTCTATTACCGCACCTTCCAAGGCGAATTCGCCACCGAAGCAGAGAGAAACGCCAAAAAGAGGGAAGAGGCTAATGCCGCGCGCAACGCCTTATTGCAACGATTCGAACCCATAGCAAACTGGGTTTATACGTTGTTCAACCAACCCATGGATCACATGGCATACCGCATGCTCGCGATGGAATGGTACGAGCTTGCTTTTGATAAGGGCAGCAGTGAGGCTGGGTATATCCTAGCTATGCTCTTCCGCGAGGAAGGCGACATGGAGAAGAGCCGTGAGGTGTACAATCTTACTGCTCAAAAGGGTCTTCCAACCACGGTGCCAAAGAAAGGCCTGGTGGAGATGAGGGATAAGTGGGAAGACCAAACCTTCCAACCTGGTCTGCCTCCTAAGCTTCTGAGGCTTTCTTAGATGGCCTCGAGCTGTTGTGTCGTGTTTATGTCTCTGCTGTACATTTTCTTTTGCCCGTATCACACTCTGTATCATAGAAATGTTTCTTTTTGGGCCTTGATTGATACCTTTTCTTCTATATATTCCCCGCTTCCAAGCATTCATGTCTCATCTCGCTTATTCCATGCTGAACTGACAGAAAGAGAAAGTAAAATATCAAAACTGTCGTTATGATTGAAGAAAAAGAATCAAACGCCATCGCTGTTTCATCCCCGAATCCAAATTTCTTTCCCTCATGCCAAACCCATTCACAGACTCCAATCCAACAACCAAGATATTTGAAGGATGATAATACCAACACAAGAAAAGAAGAGAAAAAGAACCTTCCAAGGAATGACAAGAACCCCGAACAATCACCGCCTCTTTTTTCCCTTCCCCTTCCCATGTCCCCTCGTCTTCAACTCCACAAACCCAAGCTCCTTCAACCCCTCCGCAAGAATCGACGAATCCCTCATCCCAGGAAAATCTTTAGCAGGATACACTCGGAACGGATTAGACCACGCCTCCGCAAGAATCGGCATCGACTGCCCCGTATCCTCAACAGAGCCCCAATTCATTAATCGGAATTGGAGCCTATAAAGGCCCGCGGAGCGAATCGAGAGATCCGCGAATATGAAAAAGGTAGCTGGTTGGTGGAGACGGGAGGCGGCGTGGTTGTAGGCGTTGTAAGAGGGGTTGTCGAGATGGGAATCGGGTATGGAGGACGGGTGTGCGGGTGCGGAGTTGGGATCTGGGTCTTCGTCGACATAGAAGGGGGACATGAAGGCTTTTCCGGAGAGTAATGGTGTTTCGAAGTTGTCGTCTGTGCGGGCGATGCCGTCTGATTCACGTTCTCTTTCCCTTTCCCGTTCTCGTTCTCTATCGCGATTCCGATTCCGATCTTGATCTCGGTCGTGATCGCGCTCGCGCTCGCGCTCGCGCGGATGTGTTTCGGTTGGTTCAGCCCATGGTAGAGAAGGCGAGACGGGGAATAGTAGACAGCCCACTGTGAAGCGGGGGTCTTGGAGGAGATCCCGGTCTTCTTGGGAGTTGGAGTCGAAGTCGGTAAGGAGGATCTGCACGATTGGGGGAGGGTCGACTGGGCGACGGTCTCTGTCGCCTGCGCCGCAGGCTCGTGCTGCGATGGGCTGTTGTCGGATGTGGAGATGGTATCGGGATTGGGTTGATGGTCGTCTGGGCGGTGGAGGCGGTGATGGTGATTGTGGTTCTGGTTCATGGTGGAGGAGTTTGTCGAAGCCGTGTGGCATTCTATAGTTCGGGTTTCGGGATTGAGGTTTCGGGTCTTGGTGGGTGCTGGGTAGGATGGGATTGAATGGGTGGGTTGCTGCGCTTTTGTCCGACCAGACGGGACTGGGCATGGCCGTGGACGAATTGCTGTGTCTATATGAATTTTGTGGTTAGAATGGGGGTTCTTGTTCGAATGTCTCCCTGTGTTGTGTAACCTGTCACAAATGTGACATGATAGGAGGGATTTATTCGAAATCTCAAACCGAAGACATCGCATCAGGACGGACCACTGACAGATAGAGATGGTTCAATCGACAGAAACGAAAAGAGAGGGACTTTACTGGGACTCCACATCGTATGTCCAGCTCCGGTGACTATCATAGTCACGGGCATGGATCGAAGTTGGATATGCTCTCTCTTCAGGTGGGTTGTAATAACCGCGGACATCAGAGGTTCCTGGGGGTTGCTGATAGGATCGCAGAGGGAGTGCTTGTGGCATAGGTTGTGTGTTCATGTAGGCATTGTCGGAGGAGAGCATATACCGTGGATCTGCGCTTCTCTCATGAAGAACCAAAGCAGGAAGCCTTGGGCCAATGGGCGGCGCCCCGAGTATAGGGCGCTCATAGCTTGTGCTCTGTATGATCTGTCGAGGTTCATGTCGGTATGGATAGGGCATGGGTGCCGGGGCGTGGTGTTGAGTGCGGGGGACCGAATCGATGTATGGCCGTTCCGGTGTGGATTTCCCACATTGCTGTGGCGGTGGCCTCGACATCTATCGACTTGCGCAAGCGCCAACGGGTGGTCCTTGTGTTATACTTTTAGATATTGCCGTATTCGGGTTTGTTTCAGATGAGGCATTGAATATAACCCACGAAACGATCAGATAATCACAATCAGAACAAAGTCAATGTCCCAGGTAGAAATTATGTATGTTGGGAATGGGAAAGAGAAGAAAGAAGATGGCAAAAATGCATATCCGGTCAATGAAGGCATCTGATAAACTGCATGTGAATGCAGCCGGTTAAGAGCAAGACCGCATGACACGACTTCGGTATGATCCTTTTTTTTTTTTTTTTTTCTTCGCTGGCCCTGTGAAATTGGATCTATACTTCCCTCGGGGGAATTCGTTGGCCACCGATTTTCCTCAGGAACCGGGAAAAAAAAAACGTCCACGCACAGCAAAATTTAAACACCCCTGTCCGGTTTCCCCGGGTTATCCAATCACCCGAGAGTTGGAATATGACAGGGACCCAGTGGGAATGGCACCAACAGTATGGATACTCCGTACTTTGCCTGCTTTAGTAGAAATACATCTTGGGTTGATGCTCTACGATTGGGTGCTGTATCCACCGATGATGATAAAGGGAAGAGCCGGGGGAACGGGCCGAGCGGGTTTTGCCACGAGAAGGGGAGAGACCAAGACTAAGTGGGTGTCTGTGGACATGGGTGTGTGGGCTGTGCCTCCATGGGAATGGTGCGTGGAGCTGAATGAACTAGAGACTTGTTCCTGGCAGAAATTGGCAGAAACTGGCGGGGATCTCTGATCCCTCGAAAGACGGTCAGGCAATCGAATATGAGTGGAAGTCGTTCTGCATTGTGGAACTCTCGTGTATAACTGGGAAGGCATTTTTCCTGGGAACCGGGGTGCTCTGAAGTATCTCGTGTCGCTAGTGTATAGGTCGCCTGTTTTCGACCTATAGGGGTAGTGCAAACGGGGCGGGGGGAAAAAAGACAAAGCTAACAAAGTCCTTGCGGGATTGTGCCTTTTTGCGAACCGGTCTACGGGGTTGTAGTGGGCCATAAATTGGACGATAAAGAGGATTATCGTGCCTTAGCCCGTCCCAAATGTGCTCCGTACGGTGTACTCCGTACGAAGTACCGAGTACGGTGTAACGGGCCTTAGAGTAGAAAACTCAGATCTCCGCTTTATAGAGTACAAGAAGAGAAAATTTGCCGGATGCTGACCGACAAGCCTTAGGAGCAACTGGTATCGACCCGGTTTCCAAATCCTAAGTGGCTGGAGCTGGAAGCTGCCGTGAGGCGCGGTGATTGGCGTTCAACCGTTGCTTGGCAATCCTCTCGAAAAAGATCTGCCTCGCCTGCCCCCACAATGGGGAACCTGGAAGCTGTGTTCACTAGGACTGGTGATAAGTGGGCTAATCTTGATAGGTATACGATGTAGTAGTCCCGGGCCATACTTTCAAGAGTAAGCTTTTCGGAGGAAAACCCAGAAGTATATCAATCGGCAAGTTCATCAGATAGCTTTCCTGGAATTCAAAAGTCAATTACCATTCCAGGACAACGCTCTTACCATTGCACCCGTGGGTCTCCGAGTGGACTTGGACAATTCTAATTGGGGACGAGGTAATGATCGTTTGCTGTCAGATCGATCGGCGAGGCAGCTACGGAGTACTTTGGACAATTTTGCGAAGGCGAACGAACTAAGGTTAGATAGATGGAGTTCAATGGGTCCAAGCGCTAGCGACGATAGATTGTCGCTACGAATAATGGACCCGAGAATTGTGCCTACATCATATGTGGCGTTTTGCCAATGCTGTGGGCCATTTTTGAAGATTTTGCAGCCCAATGTTTGAAGATTAAGTCCGGAATTGGAATTCTTCGATCTGCAAATGCAGGACTTTAACAAGGGTGACCGTTCGAGCTCTCAATCTCATCGGCAGATGTAGGAACTCAGACCCTGCGAACCTTCGCGTTAGTTCTCATACGTCAACTTTAGAATAGACGCAGATCACAATGACCTCACTGGAATGCTTGGTGGATGAGAATCGAAGATATGATATAGGGTGATTGAGAACCCACATGAGTCGAAAATTTTTGGTATGCACCCTCATGTAAGAAGTGTGGCTACGTTAGCGGTTCATTGTACGGAGTAGTTCTCCAGTACAATGAGACGACTGCCCCCTTGAGAGCCTTGCAGATCTGCGGTTGTTGCGTGCTGCAGGAGTGTAAGAATTCGGGGCTCCATGTGCTCGTCGTCGCACAACCGGCTAGAAGAGGAAGAGATATTCTGACAAACACCATATATAGCTAGCCACATCTAAGACTTCGAGGGCCTCGGTATGGAATACAGTAGGTGGCGTCCCCCGTCCTTGCCGATGATCCTGGTATTGTAAATGGTGTGGGTGGCTTGATCCCGTGGAGAATCCATCTCAGTGCGTGTCATTCGCATCTGCGAGGGCACCGAGGCAAACCGAGCCGGGATCAGAATCCTAGCCAACTGCCGATCGAAACTGTTGATTGGCAGGCGTAAGTTCATGCGTAGGGATATCTTAGATTTTAGACGAGCCGAACATCGTAAACCTTTCGCTTGTCGAGAATATGAGAGTGATTTTGGAGATGGAAGAGCCGAGAAGGATAAGCCCGGCGACTACAACGTGGTACATCTAGATTCTACCGACGAACATCACCGCTCAGTCATATCAACATTCCATAATTCATCTGTCCACATAGCATTTTCATGATTTCATAGGTATTTCACATAAAACGTAGGGAAAGACTCAATACTCTAGATCTGCACTTGGATCTACATCCAGATAGTAAGGTCCCCAGCAATTTCGAGGAAGAGTCCGTGGACCACTGGTAGGACTGGCTGAGAGCGTGAGATGCATCAAGGCACCGAGAGGGCCATCCGAAGGCGCTGGGCCACAGTCAATAATACCGGTGTTCTGCCCAACGTAAAGCCCGAGGAGTTCCCCGTGATGGCGGTCCCAAACCACGATGTAACCTGATGGCTGCCATGGTTCGTCTGGACCATACCGCATATCCATGCAGCCGAGTTGCATCAAATGTAAGTTGTGGATCCCCATTTGAGGAACTCCGTGAATGATCAATCGAGCCCGAATAAGGCCTAGGGTAGATGGGGTCATAGGCTCAGACAAATCATGCAGCGCCGGGATTTGGGAGTTAGAAAATTCAACCGGTGAGTGTTCTGGTACCCATCGGAGTTCGAGCGACTCAAATTTGGAGCGAATTAATTCATCAAGTCGTGCTGGATTATAATCAAGATTAGTGACGATCTCCTGGGGTTGTCCGTCGTGATCATTCAACAGATCTACGACTCTGCCGAGTGTAGCCGGAGACTTGGAGCAGCCATGAATGTAAAGCTCTGCATATAGCTGTCCTGTATGATCAGAACCAACAGATTTGCTATCAATTCTAGGCAAAAGTTGATCATCAAATGATCCCCAGATTGATTGTGAGGGATCTAAGGCCGTACTGAAATGGCTTTGACGCTTGGTGTTCCATTCAATACTCATCCTTCGATCCATGTCCTCAAGGCAAAACTCAAGTAGTTCGAGGTAGTCCCCTCCCCTCACTAGGTCAGGTAGTGCCTCACCCACAATAGCATCATCAAGGAAGAATCGAACGTTCGAGAATTTCGCAATGAATGGCAAGTTATCACCACAACGTTGAGAGATATCTTCCAAAAATTTCACTGCTATTCGAGACTGAACATTTTGGACTAGAGCAAGCACTACCTGATAGGCAGCGATGCAGCTTCCAGAGTTCTTAGGCTGAATGTTCTTCAAAAAACGAGACCAACATTTGTGAAGCATCTCATCATCCCCAAGCCTAACAAGTAGACATATATAATCATGGGCCTTGTTTTCAGAATTGAACTGGTTGCCAGTTTGATCGGTACATTGCGCCCAGAACAAGGTCTCATGCAAATTGTGGTCCTGGGTCACGAATTCCCCTTCGCCTGTGAACCCAGCAAGGATGGGATTGGGGTCATAGTATTGATCCTCAAAAGCTTTGCAGTCAAGTGCTTCAGAGTAACATCGGACTATCCGCAAACTTTCCCTGAGACTTAGGGTTGGAAAGCCCATCTGGTGGTGCCCATCCAAGAATTGTTTGAGATCTGAAGGCGAAAGCTCAAAACATGCAAAGCATAACGCTATACTGTACATTTTAGGGTGGATAGGAAGCCGGAGACGCTTCAGCCTTGCCAACAAGTCATGTAGCACCGACAGGATTTCTGGCAATGTGTTGTTCTGTTGACAGCGCCGCAAAGCGTAATACAATGGCAAACAGTCACCAGTCTGCAAGAGTTCTGCTTCACGTTTGCTGTTGATATATCTCTCAATTAGGCTCCGCAAGGAAGAGATATTGGCAATGTGGCTATTGGCATCCCACGACAACTCTTGACTCCGTGATGTAAGCCCTTTGAGGGAGGTCCACAACGTGGGAGGTGGTGTATTGAGCTTCCATTCGGCGACAAAAAGTTCACGAAGATACCCAGATAAGATCTCGTTAGTATTCTGGTCATGAATTGGCTTAGTTGAATCCGTCAGGGCGAACCGAAGCAATTCAGATGGTGATGGGTCATGGGGTCGTTTAATTGTTGCAGGGTAGAGGTTGCGCACCAATTGCCGTGACAACATATTCCCAGTGTTAAGCCGTCGCCTTGGTTGCAGCAGCAGCAACCGAGTGTGCAGCCCTCCCATATCGACTAGAGTAAAGCTGATCTGAGATGTGGAGAACCTTGGAAGATAAACATGGACCGATAAGGGGGCTAAGTCTGGGGTTTGGCTGGCAGATAAAGGGCGGTATGAGAGGCGGTATTGGACCGCATTCGCGCTTTTATTTCATCTTCAACCAGCTTCCATTTACTATCAACCTAGCTGCCAACAAAACAAGTGCCGCCTTCCATACATAGCTGCTTTTGATCTATTGATCAACCCACGGAAATTATGGTTCAAACCAGAAATGCGGATAAATCCGCGAAGGACGAGGCGAGCCAAGAACAGTCCATTGAGCAACCGACCGAGCAGCCTACCGAGAACTCGAGCGAATCGGCTGTCGCAACTTCCGAAACCAAGGCCGAGACTCAACCAGAAGACGCAAAGGATGATGCAGCATCCAAAGCGCGTGAGAGAATGAATAGGTTTAAAGCCCTACAGGCTCGAGCTGTAAGTGGTCCTTAGAAATGGCTTGCGCGGATCAATAGACTTGGCCAGTCAAACCCCTTCGCATAACTGACACAATACATAGAAATCTGCAACGGAGCGCAACCTCAAAGAGACTGCAGCCGAGTCCCAGCGTCTGACCACAGACCCGGCCCTGCTAAACACGTTGTCCCGCAAGCATGCATTCGCCTCCCACAACCTTCTCAAAGCTGACACGGAAGCCGGCGGAGAAGATTTCGAACGCAAGCGCGCATGGGACTGGACAGTCGATGAATCAGAGAAGTGGGATAGGCGCATGGAGAAGAAGCAACGCCACCGAGATGACGTGGCTTTCCAGGACTACACTCAGGATGCCCGGAAGATTTACAAGAGACAGTTGAGGGAAATGGCGCCGAACTTGGAGTCCTACGAGAAAGACAAGCTTGCTGCGATCGAAAGAGCCGCGGCTAATGGCGATCTCGAGATCGTGGAGACCGAGGACGGTGAAATGATTGCAATCGATAAGAACGGTACCTTCTATTCCACCGCGGACTCGACTGGCTTTACGGAGAGCAAACCAGACCGGGCTGCTGTTGATAGACTGGTCAACGATATCCAGAAGGCAGAGGAGGTGCGCCTTAAGAAACGCAAGGAGCGCCGTGGTGGTGATGATGACGCGGATGTGACATATATCAACGAGAAGAACAGGCAGTTCAACCAGAAACTCGCTCGCTTCTACAACAAGGTCAGTGTTCTCTTGCTCTGTCTCTGTGTGATCGTTACGCTAACAGTGTTTTTAGTACACCACCGAAATTCGGGACAGCTTCGAACGTGGCACCATGATCTAATTTGAATGTGAAATTGATTGCGATATTTTACATGAGTGGAATTTCTGAGCTATCCAGTTGTACTTGGGCATGGTCTCAGTCAACAAGCAGAGATTCCACGCGATTTCCCATCTGTCCAAAAAAAAAAACTTTGTTTTACAAAGATACAAGTCACTTCACCACTCAACAAACCTAAAGCATCGTCTTTCGCCAGGCTTTTGTTGCAAGTGCCTCAATCTGTTTTGTTCCGACTGCACCCTTGGTGGACTCATCTTCCAATGCCTCGACCACCGCTTCGCTCACAACATCGGCTTTGAGGGGCTTTTCAGCCATACTTCCGAGGAACCCAAGCTTATTCCCGAGGAATGTGTTGAACTCCGAGGCAACAAAGCCACCCATTGCAATTGGTAGCGTGAACTTCCGACTCGAGTCGTATATGAAACCCGGGCGTATGAAGACGCTTCGTAAGTCCGGGAGGGTGGATGTGATAGTTGCCTCTGCTTCTCTCTTAGTACTGATGTACCTGGCTGGCAGAATCGGTGCCCCAGCTGCCGCAGAGATGTAAACGAAGGTCGGAACATGTTCATTGGTGGACTCTTGGGCTAGTGCAATTGCTAAATCACACATGTGTCAGCTTTCGAAACAGACTTTAGAACTCTTGTACGCACCTGAATCTCGATTCATCAGCTCATAGGTCAGCTGCCCATCTTTCTCCTTTGGCTCCAAAGCCTCGCCCTCTTTTCTTGTTAGAAGGTTCTGGCTTCCAAGCTTAGATGTACTAAAAGCTCGTTGGAGGCCACTGAGAATTGGTTCTCTCCCTTGCACAACACCCTTGTAGTCGGCTTCCAAGAGAATGCCCATAGAGTGGACAACAGCAGAGGCACCATGCAAGTGTGGCTTGTAGCTCTCTGGCTTGAGGATATCGGCCTTGGCCCATTCCACGGAGCCTGCCCAGCTGGGCCGTTCCCGGGAATCGGTTACTGTCTCCCACCGGGGCTCACCAGATCGACTAAACAAAGATCAGTCATGTGCTCTTCCGTAGATCCATGCATAGGCGGGAAAGCTACCTTAATGATATAACTGTCCATCCCCTTGCTGTTGCGGCTTTACAAATTCTGGATCCTGAAATAGCTAGTCAGTATAATGATATTAATATTTTGCACTGGTTGGGCATCGCAAACCCAAAAATCCGCTTCCTCCAGCGACGACTAGTCTTTTGGTCGGCATGCTGTAGCTGTGGGATAGCTCCGGAGAATGATATCACTCAATAATCGGAACAATTGTCCAGGCTATTTAGGCTCGCAATTGACACTTCAAAGTCGAGTCCAGACAGTCAATATCAAGCTCCTCAATAAACGAAACAATTAAATAGTTCAAGGTATTTGTCTCTTGACTAGAACTTGGAAGGGGCGTTCGGCATCATTCGCCTTCTTGTCGGCCCACTTGCACTGACGGATTATCTTTATTCCGCGACTTTCTTGCGCCCTTGTTCTGGACAATCCGTTCCTAGTTGGTTCTACATTCTTCAATCAACTCACAAGATGGTATCCGCAACAGGAAACAAGCGCGTCAGGGTAAGCTTCAAGTCCTGGAAAATATCAAAATCAAACTAACACGCTCACAGGGCGTCTCGGTGTTCCGACCATTCGGTACGCAAAGCGCGCATCATCGCCGACAGTCACAAGCTAATAAACACAGTATTTGGCAGTATAGCACACCCCTTTGATCCTGAGAATAAGCCCCCAGGCTGTCCTCCAGACCACACCCACAGGTGGGAAATATTCGTCAAGGGAGTCAACGGCGAGGACATTTCCTACTGGCTGAAGAAAGTCCAATTCAAGCTGCACGAAACATATGCCCACAATGTGCGCTCGATCGAGCAGCCGCCCTTTGAGGTTTCCGAAACCGGCTGGGGTGAATTCGAGATCCAGATCAAGCTCTACTTTGTGCCTGAGTCAAACGAGAAGCCGCAAACCCTGTGGCATAGTTTGAAATTACACCCTTACGGCCCGGATGCAGAGGGAATGAAGGAACGTCGGGAAACGGTGATCAGCCAGAACTACGAAGAGATCATTTTCAATGAGCCCATTGAGCCGTTCTACGAGATTCTCACCGGAGGCTTTGCTGGTGGTCAGCCTGGCAAGAGCAAGGGAAAGAACACCAAACAGATTGGAAACGGCAGGACGGCGGATATTCCGATGAGTGATGCGCCTGGAAACCCATACAGTCGGATGACCGAGAGGAAAGAGCTTGATCGCATGGCCGAGGCTACTCAGACAGTTGAGCAGATGATCAGGGAAGAGAAGGAGCGCCTGATTGAGAGGGAGAAGTATCTGGCCAAGCTGCGAGAGAGTGAGGGTGTGCCCGCCAACACGAAGAAACGGTGATTGCTTCACACGCTTCTCTCAAGCCAAGAAGCCAGGTCATCGCTATGTGGCTAGCTTTTAAGCATCCCCATCAGAATGTGCCTGGGCAACAACCCTCATCACCCCATTTTAAACCTTCCTTAGTGCTGGGAGCTTCTCGAGGCTCTACTGCCCCGAACGGCCGAAGTTCGTCTCTCTACGCCTCTGATCATCGCGTGGCCACAAAATCCCATCTGTCTGTTTCCACTGAATTCATCAGAACTATTGCATTATATGCCAGCTCCGACCAACAAGCTCGAATATCTGCGGTCTCGCAGGTTTGTCCCTGGGACTCACATGGGGCCCTTTTCTCGTTACCCGCGAGGTGGAGCACTGCAGACCATGCTTTAAGGAGTCCTGGGAATGCACCAGGGGTTCCATTCGACCCAAATCCATACCAAGTTTACAACAAGGTTGACTTCGGGGGTCTACCACTTAGCTGCGAAAGGGAACATGTTCCACAAGGATACAGTCCTATTCTAGATCTTGGGACGTATCCCAGCTAGTTCGTGATATGATACTTTGATTAGGAAGGTCATTTTGAACCATAGTACTGGCGGCAACCAGCCAACATAACATCAATTTACAATATGAAAACACAAATCCATATCACAAAACATTCGTTCAATCATCGCAGGTCAATCATCGCAAGCCCATTTTGACACCTAGCACTTAGCATCTTGAACCGTATCTCTGGTCTTTTTCAGGAAAGGTATCAAGTCCGTGCCACCAGTCCCAGCAAGCTTAGTTTTTGCCCCTGTTTCCTTCATTTGAGAGCTAGCCGTAGCTAGATTCATTTTCCCCGTTCCCTGTTCAACTGGATTAGGCTGTCTAGACGCCATAACAATGTATCGGGTGACCATCTGAATGTGTGTATCGCGGAAAGCCTTGAGTTCATTCACAGCTGCGTTGTATGCATCCTTGGGCGGTTGAACCGGCGAGTCCAGTATAAACGGACGAACGCTAGCCCGAGCAGATAGCTCTTCAAGGAAGCGTCTATGCGGACCAGGCATGTAGTCTCGCATTTGCTGTCTTTGGTGTCAATACATATTCCCACATGTCTAGGGACATAGACACTGAAGACCAATATTCCGTGATGTTCTTACCTGAATGAAACTCGGACCACTAGCCTGCTTTCCATCTGTCGCAGAGTGCTTGATACCAAGGAAAATATCAAGTGCCTGGATCAGCGAGCTCTGTGCATTACTCCCACCACTCAATTGTAGCCAATTTTCTGGTTTTTCCACTCCATCACTATCACCAACATCATAGTACACACCCCTGGGAAGACCGGCATGACCCATATTCTTGCTGCCAGCCAGGAACG